ACCTGAGACTGGGACGGAGATTTATCTTCCAACAGGACAATGATCCAAAACATAAAGCCAAATCTACAATGGAATGGTTCACAAATAGACGTATCCAGGTGTTAGAATGGCCAAGTCAAAGTCCAGACCTGAATCCAATCGAGAATCTGTGGAAAGAGCTGAAGACTGCTGTTCACAAACGCTCTCCATCCAACCTCACTGAGCTTGAGCTGTTTTGCAAGGAAGAATGGGCAAGAATTACAGTCTCTCGATTTGAAAACTGATAGAGACATACCCCAAGCGACTTGCAGCTGTAATTGCAGCAAAAGGTGGCGCTACAAAGTATTAGAGCAAGGGGGCCGAATAATATTGCACGCCCCACTTTCAGTTTTTTATTTGTTAAAAAAGTTTAAATTATCCAATAAATTTCGTTCCACTTCACGATTGTGTCCCACTTGTTGTTGATTCTTGACCAAAAATTGTATTTTTATATCTTTTTTTATATCTATATGTTTAAAGCCTGAAATGTGGCGAAATATTGAAAGGTTGTATAAACGTTTATACATTTCAATGTATAAACACACTTGCAAAAGTGCTTGTACATGTGCATGTCATGGTAAATATATGTACATGTCTATATGCATTGCCTTCCATCTTGTTTTTATTATCATCAAAAATTGTAGTCGGACAAGTGCATGAGTCTCTCGAAGGTTCTAGAACGGCTTTGGTTGTAAACATACAAAACCCCAGATATGGAACTCTCAGAAACCAATTCCAGGAATCTATTTTCCCGTCCAAACAGATCATTTCATTTCAATCCATGTAATCCTTGGTTGGTTGGTTAGGATTGTCTTAAATGCAGGTAATTTCCCCATGTGCTTGCAGCAGCTCAGCATTATAAGACTAAGCTTGTTTTCTGTGTATTTTAGGGATCCCCCTCCTGCTTCTTTACTACTCTCACTAGGGAGATGGAGAGACAGAAGCAGTGAGTGGGAGACTTAATCTCAGGCAGGCAGATTTAACTAGCTCTCTCTTTGTGCACCCTTATTGCTTTCCACATTTTGTTCTTGAAAGAGGATTTAACATGTCAAAGAGGGTGTAAGTAATGCTATAAGTAGAATATTTTCATAATCCTCATGGCTGAGAATCAATGAGCCTTTCAGCAACAGGACAGAAAAGGAAATTTGTATTTTTTTCCTACATTTTCCACAAAATTACATCACGCAGGTTAAAAGCAATCGAACGATTTTGGCGAAGCGTTCCCAGCAGTGGCTTATACTTCCGCTCCGAGGGCCTTTGTAATCGATACGATATGGACAGCTAACAAGTGTCTAATGACAGGTAAGCTATTCCAATCCTGTGACCATGCCCCAGAATGCACACTGATAAATTGGATTGTCGCACCCCAGAGTGTTATTTGCAGAAACAAGGTGTTGCCAACTAAACAAATGCTCATTGTGGCTGACAAACAACAAAAGGTTTAATTAGTAAAGATCAAGTACATAACTCCATGCAATCCATGCAAATAGTTCTTATAGCTGTCAAAACTGTTCGGTCCTATCGCTAGCTTTCATATCCATTTATTTTAGGCACCCAGGAAAAAAACAGGACTAGCCCTTAGGCACTTACACGGCAAACAATGAAAAAATAGTAATGTGAGGTAATACATGGTTGAATCAAGTGTTGTTTATCTTCATTTGAGTACATTATGACTGTCTTCAAACAAGATTTGCCAATGGACCAAAGCCATTTAGTATAATTTCAACTGTTACTGTTGTTTCATTTTCTCATTCCAGCGGATACATTTTAGTATCTATATAAAACAAGATGATTTGGCTTTTCCAGTGTTGTGCGTGAACGAGTTCAAAAGAACGCGTTCATTGAACACGCTCATTTTTTTGTGAACGTTGAACTGAACGCAACACATTTTTTAATAAAGAACTTGAACGTGAATTAATTAATAATATGTGTCATGAACGGCAGACATTTCTATGAACGTTGGAATTTGTTTTCTCTTTGGAAACACAACGAGAGAAATTTCCTCCCTCCTGTATTCTCCGCACTTTTTCCGCCGAAAACAAAAAATTCCTACGGTGTTCACCGCCTGTGAACGCACCCCGACTCCGTGTTGAGCCAGCCGGTGCGGCGCTGTGAGCTAGTGCTTTTCTTTGGTTGTTGGACTCACATGTGCCCGAGTTGTGATGATAACAAAGGGTGAGTTAGCGACACAGGACCACCCGTTTACATTTGACATAAAGTATAGACACACGCACTGCAGCGCATTACTGTCTGTAGTACTTATGAGCAGTGGCAACTGCTCCCAATGTAGATCTTGTCTGTTTTAGAGTCAAAAGGCTCTCATCCTGTGCGGTGTACAGGATATATACTTTATATATATATTATGTAAATATTTTTTTCACACTACGAGCTAGAAATCACATTATATATATATATATAATGTGATTTCTAGCTCGTAGTGTGAAAAAAATTTATTTGAATATCTCACAAAAAAAGTAAAATGAACTGAACTTTGAACTAGTTCAGAATTAAAAATGTGAACTTTGAACGTGAACTGTTCACTTTGAGCATGTATGAACTGAACTTGAACTAGTTCAGAAAAGCTGTGAACTGGCACAACACTGGGCTTTTCCCATTGGAAAATCTTGTTTTAAAGCAGTCAAAATGTGCTCAATTTAAGATTCCCTTTTTCCATATTTGAGAGCTGCACTTTTTTACAGTGCAGCTCTAATAAGTTGGAACATGTGTATTCATTCACAAATGTTACTAAATGTGTTACTAAACTACAAAGCTCCGTTGGGACAAATACAATTCATTCACTCAACTAAAGTTTGTCAGAATCATAATTGATAGATTAGATGCAATATTGTTTTCCTAAAATGCATTTCTTTATAGATGTTACATTGATTCCAAAACTTTCTTTAGGTTTACTTGGAAACGTGTCATCCTTCCGTGTTGAAATCCAGCCTCAATTATTTGCATGAGATGTATGGATGGCACACAATCAAATCAGAGTTTTAGGAGCCAAGACACATTGAAAGCCGTTTAATAGAGAGATTCACAGTCACAGGCTAAGATTCATTTCCTTTACAGAAATATTAAAACGCCGGCACAGCTGCTCCCTGCCACAGCGGCTCTGCTCTCGGCGCTCATTCATTTACCACAGCCCTGTTCTCAAAATGAGAAAGAAATCCTTTTATCTGCTTATATTATGAGACTTTACTTTTCTTCCATGTATTCTATGATTTTCTTTCGACGTATGAGGTGTACCTGCCAGTCTCTCTCTTTTTTTGCTTGTATTTCAATATCTCTGAAATCATAAAAATCCTTCAGCCATGTCCCATTTCTCTAAAGCGAATTTAATTCCGGGCAGCGAGCCGACGTCCCGTACATCAGGTAATGATGGATGCGGCACATGTGAGCAAATGTGCAGCTCGGGCAAAACCTCTCCACTAATTATTTTAGAGGCGGAACCCGAAATGGAAGCGAGCGCATGTGTGTGTGTGTGTCTGTGCGTATACGTGTGCATTTGTGTGTGAGTGTGTTAGTGTGTGTGTGCATCTGACAAGTGAGTCATGCAGGGATTCATAATTGCCGTACATTTTGGCAGAGGAAACATCTTTAACTAAGAGTGTGACATTTCATTTGAAACAGTGCAAACAGTAATCAGCGCTCATTAATTTTGCACGCCGCCAGATGCATCGTAAATATTGACCGCGGCCGTTTATGTCACAGGTAGAGGAAGCAACGGACGACAGAGATGGATTTCAAAGTCTGTTCTATTCTCAGTCTGAGCCGAGGCGGAAAAAGAAAAATCTAAACGTTGTTTCATTTACTACTATAAAAAACAAAACTCAGACAAAATATGTATTCAATGTTATTACCCTACACTGTAAGAAATATCTATGTAAAAAAAAAAACAAGGAACTAGTTATATGGTTTCTATTATAGTGGTATTGTATTGAGGTTTCATAGATTCATAGGTTCTCCAGGTTGAAAGGAGACAGATCTACATTAAATACAACTTTTTTGATGAATTAACCATATCACAGCAGTGTTCGCTCATCAAATACCTGCAGTTTATAGTTCCATCCGCAGCAATATCAGAAACTTCTACCACAAATGTGCGACTCCGCCCCTTCTGTCTTAATGGTTCTTTATGGAAGAAAAAAGAAAGGTACTCCATCGTAACATGGCTCGAACAATCGGTACATGGCCATTGTTATTAAAGAAAGGCGGCACGGTGGCTGAAGAGATAGCACTCAGGTTGTGGGTTTGAATCCCAATCGGACCTGCGCCTTTGTTTGCATGTTCTCCCTGTGTCTGTGCATGTTTCCTCTACCTCTAAAACATGCACTAATTATGTAATTCTGCATCTAATAGATAAAAACAAAGTAAATAGTCTCATTATCCTTATCAAGGACACCAATAATGCAAAACATTTAGTCTTTAACCCTCAAGGGGCCACGGTTGACTTAAGTCGACAAGATGCGGTACTGTTTAAAATGGCTGATAATGTCATAATATGCTAATTAGATGGGTACATAGAATCCCCACATAAACTTTGGGCCATTCTAAATATTTCTCTAGTTTACAGAAAGCTTCTATCTCTTATAACATTTTAGTTATAGCCATAAGTTAAGTTTAGGAAAAAAAAACCCAGCTTAGAGGGTAAAGTGTGTGGCAAGAGCTGTGGTGTGTGCCGTCTTCTCTGTCCGGTGCACACTGGGCTAGTCATGCACAGTGTTTCCAATGTGTTTTTATTGCAAATGACAAAGAAATTCTTGTATCTTGTAAGTATTAATACCTAGTTACTCGCCCCATACTTGGTTTCTTCCCATGACCAAACAGACAAACAAACGAACACCCTTCCCTTCGGGCTTTGAGGTGCAGTGCTAGCATGCAGTCCCTCTTCATTTGTGCTGAGTGTCTTGTGCGCCGCAGGGGACCAGGCAGAGCTGTGTTTACCAGCCCCGGGCCCCAGTGTGCTCGGTGCCTCTCACCTGCCAACCTCAGAGAACCCGAACTGTAGATGGCCTCGTCCCGCAGCTCCCTCACATGAACCGTTACAGTGGACACCGCATCTGGCCAGACGCCGTCCGCGATGCGCACCTGGAACTGGTACGTGCCCGGCGGCGCGTTCTCCTTGATGATGAGGAAACCGGTGCGTTTGTTCAGTATGAAGTAACTGTGCGATGGAGGGAAAACACAAAAGAGGAGACATTGTTTCTCTGTTGTATTCAGAGGGTGTTTACAAGTCAACATCAGTGCGATATTCCTTCCAAGCCTTTGTTTGCTGTTTGTACAAGCAACAGTGAATAAGCCTTTCATTTAATTATTCAAGCTCGCTGAGAGATTCCCTCTGCGTTAACCTCAGAGGAATCACAAACGTGTGGGGGAGTGGATAGTGTCTTTGGGAAGCGCGCACAGCAACAGGACACCAAGAAGAAACTAGTTATTTGTGCAATTTTCAGTGGTGAAAAAGAAAACATGAAAGGTGCCAAAAGGCAAAAAGACGCTTTTTGGTAAATATGTGGATTCTATGACACATGTGGTTCATTATTGGATCAATACTGAGACTTTATGCGTTTTGATACATGACTGACTTTATGAAAGAAAGAAGCCCACTGACTTCCTTGCGGTTTACATCATGGAAGTCCCAGCAACTACATAAACTGTCTCTCGCATTTTTTTATCTGACACATGCTTGGACATTCCATAGTCATTCAAATGAAATTACGTTTCAGCAGTTAAATTAAAGCTGGGGTACAAACATCTGCTCTGCTCTACTCTAATGAAATCGGGTTTCTATAATCAGACAAAGACGGCATGCTACGTTCTGATTGGCTCCCTGTCCTCACTGTGTCATTTCTTATCTCGTCTCTAGTCTCTCATCTTCTCAAAGTTCTCGGTGGAGGTCAGAACCAGAGAGATCCCTCAGAGACTGAAGTGATCCGGGTCCAGTTCGACCCAGTGTGTATGCACCCAAAACCGGTCTGATAGTCTCTGTTTGTCCCAAAAGAGGTGAACAAATAAGATCCTATCATAGTGTCTTTATATTTGGGCTGAGAGCAGATTGGAGCGAGGATGGTCCCCTGTTTTCACTTTTCCGTTTGAAAAAAGCTCACTTAAAAATATATACATGTGAAAACTAGTGATATAACCGATATTTTTTTGGGAGGAAGTTTGAATGAATTGTAAAACATTGTCAAATCTTTGTTTTTTGGTTTGAAAGTTACACTGAGCTACAAACAAGTGCAGGTTATGTTTGTAGGTTATGATGAGATGTTGTTTGTTGTTGTTGTTTGATTTTAACAGGACTATAACCGGCCATCTGGTCAGATCTGTGTACTATGAAACCAGTACCCAGCTGCTCCCGCCTCTTGCTCCCGCCTCTTGCTCCCGCTAATGGCCGGGCGCCTGAAAGGGTCAAATGGCTAAATCCACCAGTGCGACCTGCTGTGTACAAATCATCAATCATAAGGCTTTTACTGACGTCTTCCTGAGCCTACGGAGACCAGTCGTCTATGCTTTCCCATAAAAGCAGTGCGATGAGCAGCTAAGTGGGAAAAAATGATTCATGTAAGTGCACATTTATTGTATGGGAAACTGCAGTCTGGCATTGAGAATATGATGGAGAATGAACACTCTTGTCTCAGTTGAATCTGGGTTAAACATTTGAGGTATAGGCTCACATTTATATTACATGGTTTAGTTGGATAGCTCTTCATGTGACTTTAACGGGTTTTTAAACTAGAGTAATGCTCTGTCAATGATAAAGCCTTAGGGTATAGGTTTGGCGTCACTGGAGGAAAAATCTATTCTAATCTTGTGCTACACAGCAGCTCAATTCTTCAAGTTCAAGTTCTTTTGCGAAATTACCAATGTACTTCTGAAAATGTCAGGATGAAATTAAATGGAATTGTTTAAGAAATAAATGTATTGTTTCCTCAGGTGCAGCATTCAAGTTATTCTGTGTCTTCGCTTGGGAATGTGTCTTGTGATGACATAAAATTCCTGTCCAGCTTTCTGTGCTTTGCTCTTGTGATTTTGTCTTAATGTAATACTGTATATTCAGCAGCTGAAACCGGAAGCTGACCTACACTGCATAAAAATACATGGTTTACTGTGTTGTAGCTCTCTCTGAATTTACACTGTATTGTAAGTATGACCAATAACTCAACATAATTCATTATATGTCTCTAAATTGTAGCATTGTACCAGAATTTTAGTCCTTTTGGGAACAATAACTGACCTAAAACAGGTGAAATATGTGAATAATTATGTATAAACTCTGTGTAAGCTTCCCTGAACTGAACATATCCATCATGTATAGTCTTTTGGATCTTTTAAAACACTTTTGAAACATTTAGCTTGAACCTAAATTTGTCATTCAAACACAATAAAAGACAGTGATTTTCTACTTCATGTTTTGGTAATCTGAAGGTCGACTATTGGTGCCGTGGCAGACTGTGAGAGGAGTGTCTGTTTTGTCTTGTATAAACACACTGAACACTGAAAATCTTTTATCGTGTCGTTTTATCCTCAATAAAACATGTCTTCTGCTTTGACACGATCCCAGAACTCGGCATCGTTTGTCTCTTAATCAGTCTCGTAGTTTATTATCAGGTTCAGTGTGAGAGAGACATGGTTCTTGGCACACATTCATTTTTCTATAGCTAGAGAAAACAGTCTGCATATCTGAAAACCTCGAAAAAATCAAAATTAATAGACATTATAGACAAGTAGTAGTTGCAGACAAGAATGTAATCATTATTTAAGGCTGTAACATTGCGTTTAACACCATTGTCATGGTAAGTCACGTTTGTTAAAACTTTGTGATAAGAAATATCTGAAATGCCTCAAGCGTCAGAAGAGAAATAAGAAGGGGGTATAAAGCAAAGCGCAGTGAGAGGAAGCCTTGGTCCTCATCTCGTTGTTCCCGGTCTACAATGAGCTCATTAAAGTGTAATTAGCATCAGAATGGAGGATGATCGAAGCAAACTCATGAACGGAGCCTTGTACCACTTCTGTATTCAGTGATGTGTCAGGTGAGGAGGATTGTTGTGTGTGTTATACTTTTGAATATGCCGTTTGCTTCAAATTTTTTGTAATGAAAATATAATACTGTCTCCAATTAAATGAACTGACTTTAAATCAAAATTACATTTAAAAGACTTCAGCTTATGCCGGAAGGTGCTGCAACTGTCAATCTTCACAGAAAATAAGTATTATACATTCTATGAGATTGCCAACACATTCAGAGGAAAGAGTGAGCGTGGAAAGCAGTCAGTCCAGACAGATATAAATTTGCTCCTAATAATTGGAAGCCTTTCTAAAGAAGACATTCACTTCCGGCATCAACAAAACATTGTCATTGTGAACACAAGGTGTGGCTTTGGCACACACATAAGACATTTATAAATGGAAGGAGAGAATAATATCACATTGCTCCAGTACAATACAGTGGTCTGAGGCAACCCCTTGAAAAGGGTGATTATTCATTAGCAGGCTCCTTGACAAGTCCTGAGGGACGCTCACAGTACAAGAGATCTGGCCTCCTCCTGCTTCTTACAAAGATCTATTTCACTCAGGGGTATTGTTGCTTTACATTATAATGCCTCAATCAATCACAGCAGCAAATCCTTGACACTGAGCCACGCCAGACCACAATGCATTTGACTGGGAAGACAGCCTTTATGATATAAGGATTATCAGATTCACACAACTGCTAAGGCCGGAGTAACTGCCCGTTCTGTCTGCTCACCTCTTTTACTCCGATCAATGTTGTTCATTGTAGAAAACAATCATAAATCGATTACAACTTTGGTGAAGGGCTATTGCAATGTGAGTCATGATGAACCCATACATTCAAAATGGAAGTTTATAGCCCCAACCAAACACAGTTAATGCCAAGTTTAAATGTAAAGTTCCAAGCTTTTTAGGGGCATTCAGGTCGATCCAAGCGAAGACTTTTTAATGACTCCAGGGCCACACTGTTATTCTAAACTCTCACAAAGTCAGTCAATCATAGTCTGCTAATGTAGCCTCTCAATCACCGAGGCTGTACGATTACTCAATTTCAAACTGCAATTAGAAATGTACTTAAAGTGTACTGAAAGTGAACAATAAAGCCCTCACTGTCATGCCCTGCTACTCACCCCCTCCTGTGCATGGGTGTCGGCCTTTTTGATCAAGAGTCTGAATTTTGTGAAAGCTTACTTACCTGTTATTTTCTGTATTTTTAGTCTGCTGCTCCGCTCCAGTCTCCGCCTGCCTTTTTTTGTCCGCTCTGTTCCTGATCCTGCCAGCCAAGTTACATTCATTTTTGTAATACATACCTTTCTTGAGTCGCCTCTGGGTCCTATTCCATTGTGCCATGACACTCACACTTTTGTAAAACACTGTAAAGTCTGGAGTCTATGAACCATCCCCTCAGACTTCAACCTTCTCACTGTTCCCAGAAGCAGTTTTTTTTCTCATTATGCTCCTTATAAATGGAACACTCTGCCTCATGACACACGCTGAACTCATTTGATTAAACCGTCTTTGCTGTAGACTTTTCCTGTAATCTGACGTCTCTGGAGGATCTCGGCAACCAGACACGCCACAAACCTGCACTGGTGTCGAAGAACTAATCTCATACAATAAACTGAATGTACCTGAACTTGTACTTACTTTGGTACATGTCCTTCAAACACATAGGTCTTGTTATCCCAGTCATCAGGGTCAGGAGAGTACACTTTGCCCAGCACTGTGGTTGGCATACGTCCTGAAGACACACAACATTATAATGTACGGTAGCTCTGGACACATCAGGAGACAGTGTATCATGTAGAACACCAAGGTAATTTATAGACATATGAAATGGCAACCAACAGAACAAATGCTTTAGAAGGAATGTGGTTTGGGCAGTGGGGGCGGGTCCCAGCTCAAAAGTGGCCAGAATGACGTGTGCTGACATGCTGCAATACCACCACCGGGCTGATGGGGGTGGACCCAGAACAAGAATTAGCCAATGCTAACATGTAGCATTGGCAGACCTCTCAAAAACGTCTTTACAGGATGGACCAAAAGTTGGCTCTTGGCCCAAAGCTTCGTTCCACATGTGTGTCAATGCTGAGGGGGGTGATTTTTTGGGACCACTCTAGTTTACTTGCTGTGAATTTTTGAAGTCTCTCGTTCAAATGAATGGAGCTGCGCCGGCTGACGCATGCGCAGATGCGTTTTTTCCCAATTTTCTTGTGGGCAGGACCACTCGCGGCCATTTTGGATAGCTCCAGTAGAGCACATTTTTTGGCCCATTAGTTAGAACGGCGGAGATAGGCGTGACTCTGTCCGTTAATATATACAGTCTATGGGTTTGGGGGTGCACTGATTATAATCATGTACAAAGACTGTTATTGCTATGTCTCCCCTTTGTTCGACACGCTTTGATTGAAATACTAATACTAACGCAGCAGGAGACTTCTTAAGATACTTTCTGAGCAGAATATAATACGGTGCATAATTCATACGTTACATCATGAAGCTAGAACTGTACCAAAATGTCGATAAGTCAAATTATCATGGCTTTTTTACTATCTGTTAACTGGATGGATTAATGTATGTTTGGAGTTGTTTGATTAGGCGCTGCGCTAAAAGGCTTATGATGTAGGAGAAAAACTGTAAATGGCTGCATGTTATGTTGGAAAAAATACATACGATGAATTTAGTTATGTGCTTGTTGATTAAATTATTTAGTTATGTGCTTTTTAATTAAAATAACAAGCATATAAGATAAACAATATATTATAAATGTAGTTGATTTAATGTTAAAGTTTATTTTAGCTAAATCGAGATTATGGTGATGAAACTTCAAACCAACGGTATTTTGTGTGACTTTTTTCTGTTCTGAAATGTGTCTAAAAGCCGAATGAGGAAAGCACAGTGTGGGCGCATGTTTGGACAGTGTGTCCCAGTTCGGCCTTCTCACCTCTGTGACTGTTGATGAAAATGTTCTTCTCTCCAGCCGCATGTGCGTGGTCATTCTGGTCTCCAATGGTCACCGTCATGGTGCTTGTCACAGTTTTGGCCGGCCGCCCGCTGTCGCTCATGATAATGGGAATGAGAAATTCTTTTTGCCGCTCACGGTCAAAAGTCCTCAGTGCCGTCAGGGTTGCGGTGCCATTTAGGTTGTCCTGGAGGTAGAAATCATTGCTATGGCGATATTCAGCAGGGACTGTGAAGTGGAATGGTGGCCCGTTCTCCAGGGAGTCTTGGTCCACTGCGCAAATCAGTGTTGAAGTTTGGTTCAACCTTACGGCCTAAACGGAAAAGGAAAGCGTCAGGGTTGAGGCAAACTCCAAAACTAAACGACCAACTCTGGCCTGGCTGGCAACTTCAACAGCATGGTCTTGATATTATTACACTTATATTATTATGTATTTAATTTTTTTTAAAGAAAAAAAAGATCCAGTAAGAGCTGACTGATTCCATAATTCACTTCAATTACATTTCATTATTATACAGCTCCTCACAGCAGCAGTAGAACGCTCCATTGATTTGAATGTAATTTCAAAACGTTCTACCGGTCATTATTTTCTATAACGGACCTCTCAAAACAATAATGACGCTGCCCTTTGGCAACGCTCTCTCTGCTTGTCTTTCAAATGCGTGGATAACTCCGCAAGTAGTTCCGGCCACTCCTGAGCTAGCCACGCTCAATCAACACACTTAAATGTTAATCGGAGAATACTTATACATATACATTCTTCACACACGTGCACGGAAATTTTCAGAATTTTCTGGTCTTGTCTTTATGACAAAAATACTATTTCTCTGCGTCAAAAAGCGATCGTGAAAAACCCGGAAGTAGTTCTGGCCGCTCAATAAACGCAAATGCCAATCAATCAACGCAATGAAATGTTAATCGGAGAGTAATTTATACATATCCAGTCTTAATACAAGTGCACGGAAGTTTTCAGAATTTTCCGTTTACGTTTTCATGACAAAAACACTGATGTAATGCGAGAAAAGGCGATCCCGAAAAACCCGGAAGTAGATACCGGCACATTTTAAGATACCGGCACATTTTCGGACACATTTGCAGAGGATCGAATTATGGATTTAGGTTAGGTTTATGTATGGGTCACTCACCGCTGATGTTCAGAATTCTTTGTTCAGTTTTCATGCAGTTCCAGAGAGTTCTAGTTTGGAAGTTGCCAGCCTAACTGTTGCCCGCGGTTGCCGAGCAACGGGAAAACTTTTTGGGACTACTTTATTTGTTGTCATTAAATAAACTTTTGGTATTCATAAAAATGATCTGAAGTTTATTTTGTGTGTTAAGTTGGTACAAAGCAGTATAATAAGCGGGATAATGTATAGCCTACAGGTCATTATCGGAAAATAAGTACCGACAGGGCGAAGCGGACCCCTCCGCTGCGCCCTGCCCTTACTTAACAAAGATCAAAGAATCAAACCGTTCAAACAAAGGATAGGAGACATTGGTCCATAAGGGGCGGATGACCAATGTTCATAAGTCTTAATAATTAATGTCTATAAATGTCCTTAATTGTCCTGGATTCTCCCCACTGTCTTTAGACCCTCCTGCATTGGAAAGGAACAACTCAAAAATCCTGTGGGATAGTTGATACACTGCAGTGGTGAAAAACTGACCTCCTGTTTTAAAAAGATTTGCGAATTGTCTTGCTTAGAATGAGAAAATAAAGTAACCGTTCTTGAAATAATACTAAATGGCTTAGTCCCATTGGCTAATCTTGTTTTAAGACAGTCAGAATGAACCCAAATTAAGATAAAAACCACTTCATTCAAGCAATTATTACCTCATATTTCATCATTTTTTTCAATGTCCTGAAAAGCTTATCAAAGAACTAAAATATGACACTTATAGGATTAGCCTCTATGCATGCAAACACAATCAATAATTGTCAAGTGATGATATTTTTTCTCTTAAAAAAACAAACACAACTGTATACAAGGTGCATATGAACCTACCTGTGGTCCAGCAACATTCTCAAACACAACAGGGGAGTACACCGCCTCGAACTCTGGCCCGTTATCATTCACGTCCAGCAGGGGGAGCTGGATCGTGGCACTTCCCGTCAGCGATGGCGAGCCGTGGTCCGTAGCTACGACGACCAACTGATGCTGTGCCATTTTCTCCCGGTCCAAAGGCTGGGCCACAGAGACCAGCCCTGATTGGTCGATGATGAATAATCCCTCAGGGTCGGACTCTTCCAGGAGGCTGTAGATCATTTCCCGGTTCAGTCCTGAATCCGAGTCGCTGGCCACCATCCGTGCGACGCTGGTGCCCACTGAAATGTCCTCAGGCAAAGGGGCCAGTGCCAGGAAGTGCGGGATGAAGACGGGAGCATGGTCGTTGTAGTCTTCCACCTCCACCACGCAGTGTAGTAGGCTGGAGAAATCCAAGTCTTCCACCTGAGACAGGGATGGGAGAGTTTAAGTAAAACAGGGCACCCCTTATTAGCACAGGTTAGCATCAGTATGAGCCAGGAGTGTTGTAGGGGATGGATTTTCTTTGACAATCATTTAAACAAAGAAGAGGATAGAGTATCAAAGTATCAAATAGATAACGTTCATTTTGTCTCCTTACACATAATTAACGTACAGTGCATAAAAATATAAAATGAGGTAATGTGGTTTTAATCTTAATTTGCCAAAGGGACAAAGCCATTTAGTCTCATTTCAAGAACTATTGCATTATTTCTTATACCAAGGGGGACGTTTCTTGTATATTTTCATTTTGCTTGTCCAATTGGCAAATCTGGTTTTAAGGCAGTCAAAATGTGCTCAAATTAAGATACATTTTTGCCAAATTTGAGCAATTTACTTATTTTTCATCTTCTTTTTTTGCAGTGTAAGCCTTGAGGATGGAGAAGAGTTGTACAAGTGGTAGTTATGAAAGCCATCAAGTATTAGCTTGGGCCCAGAAGTGCAGTGTTTTGCATCATCATTTACCACTATACAACTATCAATTATTTAATGCTAATACATTTATTCTGCCAGTATTTCTATTGACTATTTAAAACTATGTAATGTAATCCATCTATTTAGCTTGTCGCTCTCAAAACAGTTTGGTTCTCTCACTTGGCTTTATTTTGATGTTTTGTTTTTGTTTTTTTTTTTGCATCTGTCACTTTTCAGACAGAAAAAAAAAGAAAAAGAATATCAGGGCAAAGCATCAAATAGTGACTCACAAGGCTCTTTCTTACACATAACACGTTTTTTAACAAGGGGAAAGCAGCCTGAGATTGATACATTTGACCAAGTTGTAGGTTGTAAGTGATGTTTATGGAGACAATCACAGAAAAACTGGCATTAGAAGCAGTGGTAGATGTGTGTAATTTACAGATGTAATGCAAGACTATGCATAAGACTATCGACTTCTTTTGCTCTAACCTTCTCTGTGTTTCCATTCCGACAGTTTGCTCAGAGCGTTGTGGACTAAAAAAGTCACAGATTTCCATCAGGCAGATAAACAAACTGGGACTGAATAAAAAAGTGTTTGCTTTTTATTTCCCACTGTCTTTTATCCAGCAGCTACAGAGGCAGTTTGAACGGGCACACCTAAATGCACCGCAGTTATATCAAATACAGCATTTAATATAGTTTGGAGACATTTCTCAAACAACCATTTTTTAGCTCGGTAAAAAATGTCTGTAGAGCTTTTCGCACTGGGCCTGCAAATATGACGCATGGCTTTGACGGGGATCAGTGAATGTCATTGTGAAGGCTTTTGACAGATGGGCTGACGTACACGTAATGGGAACACAGGGCATCTGAGGAGAAGGATAACAATATTGTTTTTGATTCAAAGGCTGTTGATGATTTTGTAGTGTCAATTAGCCTACTTGGTTACGCAGTTGGAAATGTAACCCCTTTCCAGGAAGAAAGCAATCATGCCGTTTCACTAAAGGTAAAAATGGCTTTAAGATTTTAATGGAAAAAGTAGGCAGTTCTCTCTCTGCATTAAAGTATAATCAATCAAACAATCAAACAGTCTTTATTCGTAGAGTGCCTTTCCTACACAGGGCAACACAAAGCGCTTCACAGTCCACAGTGTAAAGTTAATAGTGTATAGAACAAGCTGACACGCACATCTATCAAACTTCAACTCAGTTCCGCCATTTATAGCCCAGACGTGTTAGCAGTGAAATGTACGGATCCAATACTTGCACATCACAAAGAGAATAATTAAGATTAATGCAAGGTAATTGCGTCAGAATAAGACAGAGACAAAGCCTCTACACCCCATACAGAGAGCTTACTGACTTTACAACAATAACAACTGCAGTGCTCGTCCATATCTCCCATAATTATTACTTTGCTATTATTAAAAGTCTGAAGGACACTGTTCTTCGTATTGCATGTATTTGAAGCAGGCGTTTAACCTCATTATGAGAATATTTGTTCGCCTTAATAATCTATTCAAAGCACATTTTTAAGTGATTATGTCTGTGTAATTATAGGTAATGTATAAGTGTAGACTTTCCCATTTCATTTGACCAAATGTTAGACGTATAATTGATAATTAAATTAATGTCGGTATGATTTATAAATTATTTATAAGCAAACAGTATCTTCTGACCAACATCATACATAGCCTTTTTTTTGTTTTTTTTTTTGTATTCATGTCAACGCTTTCAGTAACCAGTATGAGAAAATATTTATTCCATTGTTGATATGTACTCACAAAGAAAATATGGTAATTAGTGACAGATTTTGTTTCATGGATTTATTGTGGATTGGCCCAGGACATTTTGGCAGTTACCATTCGTCCCAGGAAATATTGTTCAGGTTCCTTTACCAACATTTGTAAATAAAGGCTCTTCGAAAATACATGGATGGGGTATACTTTCATTAGGTCTAATTATGTGCGCATATTTCATCGATCACAGTATGTTCCAGTGCATTTGACTAATACCATCTCTATTCTAAGTCAGATGGAGGCTTTATCAAATTATGGTAATGGCAGATATACCTTCAGCGTCAGGTTGAAGCGCTGCTCGTTGTGCCGTTCATAGTCCAGTCGTTTCTTGATCCTCAGCGTGCCTCTCTTCTCCTGCTTGTGACTGACCATGTAGAACTTCTGCTCCTGGTCTCCAGCCACCACACTGAAGGTCAGCTGAGCATTCTCCCCAGTGTCCCTGTCCTCGGCCGTGAGCTCCAGCACCTTTATGATACACATAGAACATTTTAAGCATCAAACCTATAGCTGCTGGTAGAGCTGGGGAGGTCTAAACTCTAGTGTTATGGCATGGTTTTCTCAAGTTGAATCCATGATCTTTGTAGAATAAAGAAAATATATAGTTCAAGCAAAGGACACATTCAGGAGAGATGAAGTTAGAAGTTAGAGGGAAGTATATACTGTACAGTAAATGCTTAATATAGCACATCTAACATTGTGAAATTGTCATCTCTAATTGTAAACACATAAGATAAGATGAGATAGACTCACACTGGAGAAATTTACGGGTCACGTTTGACATTGATAAAAACCCTCAGATAGTGCAAAAGACAGAGGTGTGCAAACATGTTAAAGGTTAAAAATTGACATTGAACATGTCCTGGCCTGTCAGAGACATTTAGGATTGAATTTAGGATTGTTAGCCCTAACATTTGGTATGAAAACAAGGACATAAAATATCCTGGGTTCGATTCCACCTCCTGGACCTTTCCCCTACCACTAAAAACATTTACAATAGGTCTGGTACGTGCCTCCTGTATGGCGACCTCGCTCCTATCTCTGTGTGGAGTGAGAGACAAATGCCTGGAACAATTTAAAAGAGCTTTGTGAGTCTGGTCTGTGAAAATCTTACTTTCATTAAATACATTATGGATTTGGCTTGAATATAAAAAGGCGAATGCATTTGAAGGCACTACATAACATTTTATACATTATTGTACCATCATTTTTACTGCACTCAATTTATACAGGGTTGATTGAGATAGCTGTTTGCTGTCAGATATACAGCTAATTAAGAAAAATAATGGGCTATAAACTTCAACCTCACGTCTCCACACAACAGCTGCTTATGGCCGTACAGTATGACTATCAATGTTTCACAGCTTCCCTGGCGTCTGTTTGTTGTCATCTAAGTGACTCAATCCACTGCCGAGTTTATTCTGCTTCATGTGCCGTCTGCCTTTACAACTGTCAGAAAAAAGGTGAGAGACAAGAAAACACTGCTCTCTATCGTGTTACTGGTGAGAGTCAAGGCGGCAACGCAAACATGCATGCAGGAGATGGAAGGTTCATTAACCCTTCCCTGAGAGTAGCCCGCTGAGGGTTGACAACAGCATCCCAGAAGGACACATTTGGCTTTTAATGCTGTCAATTGATAAGAAAAAGAGTGGACCCCTCTTTGTATAAAACAGACTTCGGAGAAACCCAAACTAATACATAATACTTAAGATACATATGATACTAATACATACAAACTAGGACCATAAACAGCTGGAAATATCGCAATGTTTTACATCGGGGGTGTCAAACCGGTATAAGAAAGGGCCGGTGTGGCTGCAGGTTTTCATTCCAATAAAGTAGTAGCACACCTGTTCCCTTTGAAGACCGGTTTAAGACCCCTGATTTACATCCAAGTGTTTAATTCAGTCGTGTCACAAACATAGCCGAAGTGGTAGCTCTGTCTGGTGCAATAGTACAATCTATGTGTTGTCTTTAACGTTATGGGGGAAGTCATGATGTACTTCTAAAAGTTGCAAAAGTCTACCATTGCCAAAAATATAGACGTCGCCTTGTCGTCTCTGTCCACAGTAAACTTTCGAATTCTTTGTCATTTTTAGTTTTCACTGGATGTCGGGGAACAGCTGCTATAGCTAGTTTATGAGCCAACTTTTTGTACTCTGAAAAACAGGATTTGGCTGCAGCAGGAAAGGTACAGTTGCAGCATCTAAACCCAGATAAAACTTTTCCATTTTTAAAGGTTGAAATTCTTTCCGTGTGAAAAATATATGGTTCTCCATGTCAGTATACTATCCAGGGTGTGCGAGTAACTTTTGCTTTAAACACATGAAGTGACAATGGCTGAATCACTTGTCATTTTCACTACAATATGATCATCACCATAGCAATGAGCAAAGGGAGGACCAGCTTTGTAAGTAAGCACCACAGCATAGTGTTCTTTAAAATCAATGCAAAAGAGCTATACGTTATATATGACAGTTTTTATCCATAATTCTTCAATTAATGTGGGCACCATTTACAAAAAGCACCCTGAAAATTTGCGGGTACAACCGTATTCTGTCCCAGTATTCTCTGACATTTTTACATCCCATTTCAAATCAAACCCTGGAGTTATAGTCTCGCTGTGTACCTTTCACAAAAATCCTGTTAAAAGAAACATGACATTAAGAAACATGGGCTGCGCTGTGTCCAAATGTCGACCTTCTTCCTAAAGTACCATATTTGGACACAACACAATTTTATGAAAACCAATAGAGAAGCTAGTTTAACTGTTGACTTATAGATATGAACAAAGGCTCCCAAATTAAGTTACAAAGTGAAGAGGCTAAAATTAACCTTAGCTGTCTGTTATAAAAATATGTGTGAGTCCATAATAATATGAAAACACAGAAAATATCCAAAATTTCTGGCTTTATTCTCTATTGTATATTGATGTCTTTTTGTGAAGTGGTCCAATACCTACTCATCTCTCATTCACTCCTCGAAGAAAGCAATGTATTATTTTTCTTTTTTGGATTTTCTTAGCTATAGGAGCACTAATAGCACTAAAAAGACGAAATTGTTTTTAGGTTTTTTTTTTTTAAACTCCTATTTTTTTATATTATAGGACTTTACCGAATGGTTGAGATGCAGTTTAATGATAAAAGTGCCTAAAACCAAGTGAGATTGGCCAAAGAGGTAGATTTCAGTTCCAAGCTTAAAGTAGATTATATTGACTCAAAAGGTGATCTACCGGTCGAAAAAACCATTAAAGGGTTCATGCTATCTATAATTGCTTTGCTTGAAATGTCACTCAGTTGGGTTTGTATTGAGACGTCTTGCCTCTCCACAGATGTAGTGCCATGCTTGTTTCCACTTTAAAATACTGTTTCCTGACATACCGATTAATTATCCAGGCAAAACAACAACATTTAGATGAACCCAAACAAAAAGAGGGAGGACTTTTAATCAGGGTTCAACTATTTCCAACACAGGTTAAAGTCAAGGACGAGTAGGTCAGTGGAAAGGCAGCACATAAAATACCCAGTTGGAAGCGATGCATTGTCCAAAATGTCATCAACAAGGCCATTCATTTCGTTTGTTAATACATTAAGACTTAACAATCTTGTTTAACGTTGAACAAAAATCAATGTTATATGCCCCAGTGTTAAAAAGCACTCCAAACTGGGGTTCTCTCGAAGTACGATATATAAGTGACTCACCTCAGAGTTCGGCTCAGCATTTTCGGACACCTTGGCCGTGCAGGTGTGATCCGTAAACCTTGGGGCGTGATCGTTCACATCTTTGATCTGAATGGTGGCTGTTCCAGTTCCTGGTATTCCCCCTCCGTCCCGGGCTTCTACCACCAGCAGATAGGACTCTACCTGCTCTCTGTCCAGCCCATTCATCGCCACCATGATGGTCCCAGTGGTAGGATTTATACTGAACATATCGGAGAACGTTGGCAGCCCTCCTACTTCCACATTACTGGCATCTAAACTTCCCACAATCCTATAGGAAAGTACGGCGTTCTGCCCCACCGCAGAATCGTCCAAATCCGTCGCTGTCATCTCCATCACCAACGTCCCGGGCGGCGAGTTCTCTGCCACGTCTCCATGGCAACTCGGGGCGCAAGTGAAGACTGGGATGTTGTCGTTGATGTCCCACACGTTGATGATGACGTCTGTGAATCCGGTGAGCCCTTCGCCGCTTTCGTCTGTGGCCAAAACGACGAAACGCCAGACGGCTCTCTCTTCGCGATCTAGAGTTCTCTGGGCATAGATTTTCCCAGTCACCTCGTCAATTATGAATTCGCTGTCTGCACCTTGACCGTGCAGGGAGTATCGCAGAGCCTCCTGGTCCGCATCCTTGTCTGGGTCAGAAGCGGTTACCTGTGTAGAGACAGTTTTTTAGTGTTGAATTATTAAAATGACAGCACATGAAGAGCAGCCCCTGACTTCATTTCCAGCGCAGAGGTACTTGGCACTGGCCCGCATCCAAGCTCCCCTCAACCTCTCGCGTCTCACTCATTCACGGCACATCAGAAACAATTACGGGCCAGACAGGATAAAGATGTTCCAATTTAGAGCCGTAATTGAGGTTGATGTAGATTGAAAATGAACTTTGGTTTCTCCACAAAAAAAAGCAGCTCGTTCTATACAAAGAGTAATTTTCTACACCTCAGTCAGAACCTGTTTGGAAATTGAACCAATTATTTTGACAAACAACATGACATGACAATTCACGTTCACCATTTTAATGTGCCACACACACAAAGAATGTTTTGAAATGTTGAGTGAAAACCAACATTTTGCTGATTTTTTGCTGATTTAATTTCAGAAATGTCCCCACTCTGGGAAAATATAGGTCCTCTTAACTTAGGATGCATGGAAAAAGAGCGAAGCAATCTCTGTAGACTAGAACAAAGTAAATGAGACAGCATTCGGTATCCGACACTTAGACATAGGATCATTGGGAGCCCATGATTTTTCTTCATTAATTTGTACATTTAGCTCCATTCTTGGCATCATTTTTTTCCATGTACAGTGGAAGCTTAGATACATACAGTAAAAAAATTGTATATTTCCAAATCACGCACCTTTACCTTTCGTAAATTCCAACAGTATTTCTTGTACTGTAAATCCTCCCATCCTTCTTTCACAAAACTGCATAATTATCTGTTCCCTGGGGCATACTTTCTGAACATCTGGGATATGAAAATAGTTTGTCAACGATACCGTTTGCACTTATATAGAGTAATTGCACACGTCTTCCCCAGATCTTGACTTTGTTGTTGTTGTCACATACGTGCTGACAAGTACATGTTCTTGGCTGTAAACGTGCAGTTCCCTAGCAGCGTAATCACATGTTTGTACCTGTAAAACAAAGACAGGAGACCCATCCAGCTCCTCTGTGACGCTGCCGTAGTACTCATTAACAGTAAATACGGGGGCTTCATCGTTCTTGTTAACCACGTTCACTGTCACACTGGTGTAGTCTTCCCATTTCCCGTCAGAAGCCAGCAGATGAAGCTTGTATCTATACACAGGGGAGAAAAAAAAACAACACTTGTTGAGTTCAAACCCTATTTTTCTGAAAAATTGAATAGTAAGGCTTTGGTAGAGTCTTGTACGATGACAGAAAGGCAAACAAGGAACAGACATATACAGCTTACAACAACAACAACAATTTATTCTTGTATAACCCTAAATCACAACAGCAGTCACCTCAGAAGACTTAACAAAACCATTGAAATCACCAACACAGATCAGAGAATCAACAGTTAAGACACAAAACATACACATGTTTTTTCCCACTTGTTGTCCATCCATTGTCTCTACCAAGTTTGTCCCTGTCCTGTTTTTAAGTTCAAGAATTTGGTGCTTTTTGTCACTCTGAGGTTGATTAAACTACATTTGATTTTCAATCCTGCATTTTGTGTTCCCTTTTTCTTAATTTCCCCATGTGACACTTATTAAGTATCCATTCCTTGAATTGGATCATTATGATATTTCTTTGCTTTCCTGAGATGACAATTTTTCTTTTTTTTGTATTAATACAAGCTGAGTGCCAATAACCCAATCGCTGCAGTTAGACTTAAGTGAACCCACATTTAATTTCTATGAGAACTATGTTTTTCTTGCGTCTATAAAAGGCATGCTGATTCCTTTAAAGTTCAATAGTGACTTAGATGTATGAAGTGCATTTGAAGATACACAATCCAACTCATGAAAACATAAATCAACACACGGTTGTTGTAATGTCATCTTATCACAACAGGGACAAGAGTGTGAAGTTGTCATTCAAATAGATTTGTTTTATTTATTTATTTTTATAGCAGGGTGCCTTTGTAGAATTGTAACTCACTTTTTGTTCTGTTCGTAGTCCAGGGGCTGAGCGATGAAGATGGTGCCAACCTCCGGCTCCACATCAAACACGCCTCCTGTGTTCCCCGATGTGATCTGGTAACGCAGTTTGGCATTCCCACCTGAGAGAAACAGAAGCGACGTGCAGAAGTTCAACAGCAGAGCAACAAAAGAGCAAAGGAGCGATCGGAGGGGCACAGGGACTGGCCTTCTGCTAGGACTGAGGAGCACAGGGACTGGCCTTCTGCTGGGACTGAGGAGCACAGGGACTGGCCTCCTGCTGGGACTGAGGAGCACAGGGACTGGCCTCCTGCTGGGACTGAGGAGCACAGGGACTGGCCTCCTGCTGGGACTGAGGAGCACAGGGACTGGCCTCCTGCTGGGTCTGAGGAGCACAGGGACTGGCCTCCTGCCGGGACTTAGGAACACAGGGACTGGCCTCCTGCTGGGACTGAGGAGCACAGGGACTGGACTCCTGCTGGGACTGAGGAGCACAGGGACTGGACTCCTGCTGGGACTCTGAGGAGCACAGGGACTGGACTCCTGCTGGGACTCTGAGGAGCACAGGGACTGGACTCCTGCTGGGACTCTGAGGAGCACAGGGACTGGCCTCCTGCTGGGACTGAGGAGCACAGGGACTGGCCTCCTGCTGGGACTGAGGAGTACAGGTACTGGCCTGCTGCTGGGACTGAGGAGCACAGGGACTGGACTCCTGCTGGTACTGAGGAGCACAGGGACTGGACTCCTGCTGGTACTGAGGAGCACAGGGACTGGACTCCTTCTAGGACTGAGGAGCACAGGGACTGGACTCCTGCCGGTACTGAGGAGCACAGGGACTGGACTCCTGCTGGTACTGAGGAATACAGGTACTGGCCTCCTGCTGGTACTGAGGAGCACAGGGACTGGCCTCCTGCTGGGACTGAGGAGCACAGGGACTGGCCTCCTGCTGGTACTGGGAGCACAGGGACTGGCCTCCTGCTGGGACTGAGGAGCACAGGGACTGGACTCCTGCTGGTACTGAGGAATAACAGGTACTGGCCTCCTGCTGGTACTGAGGAGCACAGGGACTGGACTCCTTCTAGGACTGAGGAGCACAGGGACTGGCCTCCTGCTAGGACTGAGGAGCACAGGGACTGGCCTCCTGCTGAGACTGAGGAGCACAGGAACTGGCCTCCTGCTGGGACTGAGGAGCACAGGGACTGGCCTCCTGCTGGGACTGAGGAGCACAGGGACTGGACTCCTGCTGGGACTGAGGAGCACAGGGACTTTCCTCCTGCTGGTGCCAGAGTCAAGACTAAACAGTTGGCATTACAGATTCATGCAGCTAAAATCTAGAACAAAATGTGAGACTTCCATCATCCAGGTTAAACATATTTCTGTTTTGCTTTGTATAAAACAAAAAGAGCCTCTTCTTTAACTTCTTTAACTTAAGGTCTACTGTGACTGTTCGTTTCATCTGTGTATGATGTCAATGTCATTACATAATTTAAATCTTTCCTTATGTTTTTTGTAAAGCGTGTGTTTAGATCCCTTATGTAACTGTGCTATACAAATAAGATTAAGAGATCCTTTATTCGTCCCATAGTGGGGAAATTTCAGTGTTGCATCACAAGTTGCAGAACAGTATGAAGAGCACACAGCACAGGATAAATGAACAATAACTACACTAATTCAAATAAAACATAATCTCTAACTCTGGCATCAAAGAAAAAAGTATAACATATACAAAAAATACATCCATTAATTAACATTAACATATATATTTAAAAGTATAAAATACTGTGTATTCTAGTGCAAGCAATATATACCTGTAAACTAGCGTTGCCTTACTATCTTGGTACTGTCTCAGAATAGTATATATTTTCGATTAGGGAAATGAGGTTATATGGCCGGGTTACGTGAAAAACTGACCTGTTTTCACTGATTAACACGTCTGATTAAACGTAGTATTAAAAACAGGAGCGTACAATGCACTTTCAAGATTTATTTCCATATAATGTATTCAGCATTTCTAGAAATTACTTGCAGATAATTGCCTGTAAAAGGTCTAAGTAAATTACTGGCAGTTGAAAATACCACCCCGACAATGTGAAGTATTAACATTGTCTAAAATAACACCTTTACTAAAAAACAAATAAAAAGAAATTTCTTGCAAGAAATGAAATTGAATACAGAGGCATAATAATAATTGTGCACTTAAAATTTAGACCTATTTGTTATATTATCTTTTTTTTATTAATTTTTTGAAATCACGTACACTTCTAATGTATTATTGTTTTTTAGTTTTTGTGTTGCCACCTGAATAAATCACCATTCTATTCCGAAAAACTGAATCTGAAGACAAATAATCATACATGAAGACTTTTGAGGGTGGGGTGGGGAATTGTGCAGACACCTAACTGCACAACTCCTCAAGGTCTAAAATAATTTCTACGTACGCACACCGACACTTGCAGCACCTCTCACACTAACACCACGTGGAGCCTGAAGATGCTATTTCTGTAAAAGCGATATAACCGTGTAGTTTGTCAAGAGTAAAGTCGTGCTGGAAAGTTTAGCGTGGTTACAAGAATAGCAGTTGGAATCACTCTGCGGGGAATGAAATCAAACATGCCCCGGAGAATTTACAGAAAACACATGCTGTGATGGGAGGAAACCAGCAAGAGATGGGAATATTGAACAAATGAGCTATAAAGAAAATATTGAACAGAACAAATTGCCAATGTATAATGCAAAAGTGTGTCTGTATAATAATAATAATAATAATAATAATGTCTCAGTTTCATATAGCGCTTTTTTGGCCACTCAAAGATCACATGTCCATATTCTTTCAATCCATACAGAGAGGTGACAAACAACTACTGTCGCCACAACTGCCCTGGGCCACACTGCCAGAAGCGAGGCAACCAGAATCCGATCATTATCCCTATTCTAGACAATGCTGGTGAGGTGTTTTGCCTGAGGACACAGCAGCACGGCAGCAGCTTGGCACTTTACAGCCGCAGCCGCCCTACTTTGGCACCTGGTGTTCCCAGAGGTCTCCCTTCACAGTACTAACCAGGTTATATCGGCAATCATCATTAAATTGCATGTCATTTGAATAGCAATACATGCAGCCAATCAGAAAGCTGTGGGGGCGGGTCTAACTACCACTTGCATTTGTATCTCATCTTAAAGAATGTGAATGTAACTGACCTTCACTTTGAGTTTGATTTAGAACAAACCAACATTAGAGCTCCTTCTATAGGATCCATGGACTGTAAATATTAACGGACGGCATCACGCCAATCTCCACCGTTCTAACTAATGTGCCTTCACTTTCGCCGTCTATGGGCTGTTTCAAAATGGCCGCGGGCGCTGGAAAATGTGAAAAAACACATCTGCGCATGCGTCAGCTGCACGAGCCCCATTCATTTAACGAGCGGCATCAAAATATCACAGCGACTAAACTAGAGTGGTCCAAAAACATACACTCCCCTCAGCATTGACACACCTGTGGAACGGAGCTTTGGGCCAAGAGCCAACTTTTGGACCATCCTGTGAAGGCGTTTTCGAGAGGTCTGCTAATGCTATATGTTAGCATTAAATTATTCTTATTCCGGGTCCACCCCCATCGGCGCGGGGTAGTATTGCAAGCATGTCAGCGCACCTCATTTGGCCACCTTTGAGCCCGGACCCGCCCCCACTAATAGGATCGCACACTTTCTACGGCACAGACACACTATACGGGCACTGCTTTGGTTTAGGGGTGTGTTAAAAACATTTTGCATTGGAAACATTATATTTTCCCATATTATTTGTTCCTGCTGATGAAAAGAACATGTACAAAAACAAATGATGTAGTGTTGCAGACTATGATTACTTTACCACAAAGTTAATAACAGACAAAATTTACAACACCATTTCCTTTTGCAGCTCTGACCTTGAATTTGAAACAGATCAAACAGATGAATCTAAAACCAAGATACAAACACGAGATAGATTTCTTTGCGACGCTTTTTGTAAGAAAATACAAAATGTTTCCATTGTTTTGCATCATTGATCTTTAAGTTTATCAGTTTACTGCATCTCCCATCTCAGTAAGTTACAACATGTATTTAAACTTCTGTGAGGAGAATGGTTTAATTCACTCCACTTTGCTCTGTCTGCCATCGCACATTTTAAATAAGTCATGGGGGGATAGCTTTTGCAATCGCAGCCCTTCTTTACCATTATTTTTCTCTCTACAGCGGTGGACTTAATCTCCTAAGTATTTAGACAGGCTCAAAGACTCCAAGGACAAAAGAGAGAGCACAGGGAGCAATCCAGAGTGATGGCAAAAACAAACAAATGCAGGGAAAATGAATGTTTCCCCAGTTGTCTCTCCAGGGTGCAATGTCGTAGAGCAAATGCAAGAAGAAACTCATCCAGCTTTGTTCATGAAATAAGGGACTATGTATGACAAAAAGCTCACACACCTAATGCATACTTTTAGGACAAAACATTTGGCTCAAGGACATCAGGGAAAATGGATAGTGTTGAAATAAGAACAACACAATTGCCCTTGCCTGGCCTTAGCCCTTAGCCCCCCATATACTACAGCCAATTATTATTTCCCTACATATACGTCTGGGTCTAATCCTAGTGTCTGCAGTTACCTCGGTTGAATCTCCTCCGACCATTCAGCGAGCGGGGGAGGCGAATGTTGTAGGTAGGTGTCGGAGACGTCTTGGAGTTTTGCGCAGAATTTGTATTTTGGCGAATGTGATAGTAAAATAATCCGTTCTGGTTCGGCTCCAATGTCAAGAAATTGAAGCTGGAGCAAGAGGAACGTTTAGCAAATGTCATTGCTGGAAAATATTTTGTGGCTCTACTCCCCACGGGCTTCTTTAGTGGCAAAGGAGATGGCTAAAGCTAGGCTAAAGCTAGGCTAAATGCTAAAGTTAGGATAAATGCTAAATGCCTCACTCACTCGGGCGCATTACATAAACTCAGATCTATTGTTTCTATCTGTAAAAGGAGTTAACCCCTCCCACCTGTTAACAGAGCTCAATGGAGCAAATCCATACCGTAGTACGAAATGAAATGAGAACAATGGTTTGGTAAGTCCAGGCAACCATAACCCTAACTATGATTTTAACAA